TTCTAACACAGGAGATAAGATGAAAAAAGAAATCCAGACAGTCTACTTTAGTTCTATCCCAATCAAACTTTTATTTCAAAGAACTATTTAAAGGACCTGACATATGTGAAACACAAAACTCTTTTTTAAAACCTTCAGGGATATGACAAAGAGCCTGAAACGAGACCTTCTCCTTCCCACAGCCTTAGATACCCTGTGAGTGCCAAGGTATGGGCTGTGCAGGGAGAGCAGCTCTGTGTTGCCTGCTCTAAGGCCATCTGCGATACAAATTATGTGATTCCTGGACTTCCTGCAAGTTGCAAGCTGCAAGCATTTGCCCTGCAAATCAGGTTGAAATGAACAAAGGCAGCCTTGAAGGGGGATGTCTCAGAGGGCATTGTAGGCCACGGGGTGTGTGTAATGTGCGGTGGGTAAGGATGGGGTGGAACAGGTTGGAGAGGCAGAAAGTTGTTGCTAGGCAACCAGCCTGGGTGCCTTTGTAAGTGTGGATATATTTTGTTTGAAGCAGCAGCTGGCAGCCACCACCTTCTTTTCTCTCCCTCCTCCTATTTATACCGAGAACATAGACCTGATCTAGAGCTCTCAGAGAGGTCCTGGGAAGATGGAGCAGGGGAGCTGGTTGGGGCTATAGGAGAAACATGCACATGAAAAGGCAAATGACTCTACTGTTCAGTATAGACCTGGATGTTGACACTTACTAACCAAGATCTTAGGCAAGTGTATTTAATCGCTCTGACATTCAGTTTCCTCGGTTGGAAACCTGGAGACATAACTCTCTAGCAGGAATGTTGTGAAGATTAGAGAAAGTGCGTGCAGAGGACCCAGTACCTAGCACATAGTAGATGCTCAGTAAACGGCAGTAGAGTGTGAGAGCATGGACTCAGGCACCAGACTGTCTCGTCTCAGCCCTGCCACTTAGCTGTGTGACCTCAGGCACGTTTCTTAACCTTTTAGTGCCTTCACTTTTTTTCCATCTGTGAGATGGGGGATAATAATAGTACTTACTAACAGGGTTGTTTTGAGGATTAAATGCATTAATAATACAAAGTGTTTAGAACAGTGCCTGATCCACAGTAAGGACTCAGTACACGTCAACGATGACTTGTAATACCATACGTACCATGTCTGAGTGCATCTGTAATACCATACGTACCATGTCTGAGTGCCTCTGCAGACCAGGTGCTAGTGAAGCAAACCTGCAAGAGCTCATTTTTAAGGGGATTTTGATTTTGGCCAGCGGAGACCGAGGAGGAGGTTGGTACTTTGGTAGCTTCAGAGCAGTATATGTGTTAATTAAGCAAGGACTATAGCAGAATGAGACTCTGATAAACTGTGTGACCTTGGGCAAATGACTTAAACTATTTTAGCTGTAAGAGACTCTTTTGTAAAACGGGTATAATCAGGATCCCTATCCCATCTGGTGGTGACGAGGATTAAACAAGGTAACTTGATGAGGAGTAAACAAGGTAACTTGTCAGGTGTTTAGCATAAGGCCTGGCCCAGAGCAAACCTGGTGGCTGATATCATTTCTAGAAATAGAGACAAAGAAGAAAGGGAGCAGCATGGGGCCTGTGTCCATTCCAACAGAGCCACATTAGGAAAGAGCTGCAGAAGAAGGCTGAAGAAGCTGTTTTGCCGGGCTCTGTCTTTGGGGGCTGAGGTGGATGAGCTGAGGCACCGGCAAAGCTGCTTTGGCCTCCAGGTAACCAAGAGTGACCTAGACTAGGAGAGGTATCCTTCCTTCTTCAGCGTGGACCACCACAACTGGCCACTTGGGGACTGTGAGGGTTGAGACCCTGGGCATTAGGACACAGCACTCTTGCTACAGACATTGGAGTTCTCACAGTGAGGGGGGTTTCAGGAATGGGGGTGAAGCTCCCCAAAAGGAAGACCTCAGTGAGGAGGGCTGAGAAGAAGTTGTACGGTGATGGGGTCCATATAAGCAAGTGGGGACCAGACTAGTGAATTTTCTTATGACGACTACTGCTATTAACACCCCATATGGTGAAGCTGAAGGGCATTTGGATGACATGCACTTAGCAAATAATCTACGAGGTAAAAGGAAGAAACTTTACCAAAACCTTGGGCTATTTTGCATAATTTCAGTTCATCATTTATAAAATGATGAACTAAGACAAGTGGAGAAGAAACAGCAAGCATCTATACTTCTATCAATGGGGGAAGCCCAAGAAAAGATCCAACTGGAGTGACTAACTGGAGTGATGAGATTACATAGTGTGGGGTGATGAGTAGAGGTGGGTTGATGGAAATTTTTGAATCCTTAGCTCAAAAGGGTGAACTTTTTCCTAGAGACAATGGAATATGTTGAATTTTTTTTTTTTTTTTTGCGGTACGCGAGCCTCTCACTGCTGTGGCCTCTCCCGCTGCGGAGCACAGGCTCCAGACGCGCAGGCTCAGCGGCCATGGCTCACGGGCCCAGCCGCTCCGCGGCATGTGGGATCTTCCCGGACCGGGGCACGAACCCGTGTCCCCTGCATTGGCAGGCGGACTCTCAACCACTGTGCCACCAGGGAAGCCCTATGTTGAATATTTTTGAGCAGGAGGATGATAGGAAAGAAGTCATAGTTCAGAGAAATATGGGGGAAAGTATATCTTGCATCAGAAGACCTGGGTTTAAATCTTGACTCATCCTTGTAACGATGGAAAGCCACTAACTTTCCTGAGACATAAGATGAGGGTAATAGTACATTCTTCGGGGTAGTGTTAGGAACAAAGGAGTGATGTGATTTGACACCAAAAGCAGAGGCAACAAAAGCAAAAATAAACAAGTGGGACTACATCAAGCTAAAAAGCTTCTGCACAGCAAAGGAAACCATCAACAAAATGAAAAAGCAACTTACTGACTGGGTGAAAATACTTGCAAATCATATATCTGATAAGGAGTCAATATTGAAAATGTATTAAAAACTCATACAACTCAATACTAAAAAGCCAAGCAATCTGGCTAAAAAATATGTAGATGTGAACAGACATTTTTCCAACGAAGGCATACAGATGGCCAACACGTACATGAAAAGATGCTCAACATCACTAATCATCAGGAAAATGCACATGAAAATCACAATGAGATATTACCTCACACCTTTTCGAATGGCTATTATAAAAAGACAATATATAACAAGTGTTGGTGAGTATGTGGAGAAAAAGGAACCCTTGTGCACTGCTGGTGGGAATGTAAATTGGTGTGGCCACTCTGGAAGATGGTATGGAGGTTCCTCAAAAACTTAAAAGTAGAAACTACCGTATGATTCAGTAATTCTGTTTCTGGGTGTTTAATCTGAAGAAAATGAAAACACTAACTCAGAAAGATACATGTTCATTGCAGTATTATTTATAACAGTCAAGATATGGAAACAACCTAAGTGTTCATAGATGAATGGATGAAGGAAATGTGAATATATATATATATATACACACACACACACATGTATGTGCATATATATACACACATACATACCCACACAATGGAATATTATTCAGCTGTAAAAAGGAATGAAATCTTGCCATGTGTGACAAGGTGGATGAACCTTGAGGGCATTATGCTAAGTGAAATGAGTCAGACAGAGAAAGACGAATACTGTATGGTCTCACTTATATGTGGAATCTAATACATAAATCAGCTCATAGATGCAGAGAACAGATTGGTGGTTGTCAGAGGTTGGGGGTAGATGGTAGGTGAAATGGGTGAAGGGATCAAAAGGTACAAACTTCCAGTTACAGGATAAATAAGTCCTGGGCATGCAACGTACAACATGGTGATTATAGTTAATAATATTGCATTGCATATTCGAAAGTTGCTAAGAGTGTAGGTCTCTAAAAACATGTGGTGTGAAAGCACTCTGTAACTGTGCTCCCCCAGGTCTACCTCCTTTTTATTTCTTGTCTCAGCTTCGTGAAGTGAACCTGCCTCTGGGCTTCCATAGCACCTTGTACATTGGCACCTGCCAGGCAACTCTTGATTGCAAAACCCAGACACGCCTTGAACTCTCTTGAACCATCTCAAACTATCTTTAACAATAAGGAAATTGGCTCATGTAATTTAGAAGTCTAAAGGTAAGGTAGGTTTCAGGATTGGCTGCAGCATCCCTAGGACTCAATCTGCGTACGATAACGTCTACAGGAAGAGAAACAGGGTTACTTCCAGTGGCGTTCCCTGAAGGAAAAGCTCTTCTCAGAATTCCCCCCAAAACCTCTCTTTACAGCTCATGTTCCCAAAGTGATCACATACTTATTCTGGACCTTTAGATCGAATGGTCTCAGCTGGGGGTGATGTTGCTCCCCACCTGCCCATGCCCGGGACATTTGGCAATATCTGGAGACATATTTGATTGTCACTGCTGGGGGTGAAAGGAGTGTGTGTCACTGGCATATAGTAGGTAGAGGCCAGGGATGCTGCTGAACACCTTACAATGCACAGGACATTCCCTCACAATGAAAATTATCCAGGTGGGACTTCCTTGGTGGTACGGTAGATAAGACTCCACACTCCCAATGTAGGGGGCCCGGGTTTGATCCCTGGTCAGGGAACTAGATCCCACATGCATGCCGCAACTAAGAGTTCCCATGCCACAACTAAGGAGCCCACATGCTGCAACTAAGGAGCCGGCAAGCTGCAACTAAGGAGTCCACCTTCCGCAACGAAAACCCAGCGCAACCAAATAAATAAAATATTAAAAAAAAAATTATCCAGGCCAAAATGTCAATAGTACCAAAATTGAGAAAAGCTGTTTTAGACTAATCAGCCCGCACTTGGAGTGCAGGTAGCGGCCACGAATGTACGTATGGGTGAGCAGTGGCCACCTGAATAAAACTGGGACTTACTTGGGAAAAAGAAGGGAAAAGTGGGTCTGCAGTCAACAACCATGTACACTGCAGCTTTGCCCCATCGGAGCACTTATTGTGTGGCCGCTGTTTATTTATCCTCTGTGTTAGTTTTCTACTGATGAATAAGAAATTGGCACAAACTTAACGTAAAACAACACAGATTTATTACCTCACAGTTTCTGCAGGTCAGAAGTCTGGGCCTGGTAGGCTGGACGCTCTGCTCAGGGTCTCACTGGGCTGAAATCAGAGCGTTGATTGGGGCTGTGGGTCTCCTCTGGGGTCCTCTTCCAAGCTCATTCTTGTGGTTGAATTCATTTCCTAGAGGTTTTAAGAGTCTGTTTCCTTTCTGGCTTGTCAGCTGGGGGCCACTCTCAGCTCCTAGAGGCCACACACACTCCTTACCATGTGGCCCCCTTATCTTCAAGCCAGCAAAGGTGCATCAAATCCTTCCCATGCCTTGAACCTCTGGCTTACTCCACCACCAGCCATCGAAAACTCTCTGCTTTTAAAGTGCTCATGTGCTTAGGTCAGGTCCATCCAGATAATCTATCTCAAGTTCTGATCTGGAACCTTGGCTACACTGACCAAATCCCATCACAGCAGCAGCTATATTCGTGTTTGGATGAATAACTGGGAAAAAGTGTGTGTGTTCCAAGCATCTTTGTGTTCCTGGCTTTTAGCAGGGTACCTGGTAAATATTTTTTTCTCAATAAATATTGTTTGAATGACTGAAGAACAGAATAAACAAAGTCATTTCCTTTTTAGGGGGATAGAATTACTAGATTGGTCACTCGGGGCGTGTTACAAAGAGAACTGTACAATCTTGGAGTTAGAAGATACACATGGTCATAGAGGAATCTGTCGATCGTTCCAGGAACCCACATATTCACAGTGTGGGGTTCATCAGACCAAGATCTCCCTGGTTCTGAGTACTGTATTCTTTTACAATGCAGACTATTTTTCTTCACTGCCTTTTTGGCAGAACTGGCGAAGCTGCTGACTCATATTAAACTTGCAGTTCACTTAAAGCTTTTCTGCATTAACTGGTATTGTGCCAGGTCTCACTTTGTACTTGGGCAGATTTTATACAACTTCCTTCCCACTCATTCTTATGCCATGGGTTTCTGGCCTATCGTTTCAATCTTTTGAAGACCTCTGGGAATCCTGACTTTATTATTCAGCTTCTTGGCTCTCCTAACATGATAGCACTTGAAAATACAACAAGTACATTTTCTTTGCCTTTGTCCAAATAGTTTATAAAAAAGTGTTGAAGGAGTCAAGGTCAAATTCAAAGCCCCGAGGCATGTTAACTTCTTTCCAGTTGAAAACAATGATTTAATCAACATGTGTTGCATAAGGGTTGCTGAACCTATGATAAATCTACTCTTTTATTTCTCTATCATATCTACAAGCCTATTATGGAATACTTAAATGTTTGGCTAAACCTATGCTATACAGTATACATTCAAATATACTCCTAGGAATACAATATACATCTTTTGCAGTCAAGTATATCCATATATCAGAAAATTCTCTTCTAAATTCTCAGATATGCTGTACCTTTTTCTTTCTTTCTTTTTTTTTTTTTTTTTGCTGCTCCGTGTGGCACGTGGGATCTTAGTTCCCTGAACAGGGATTGAACCCGCACCCCCTGCAGTGGAAGCGCGGAGTCTCAACCAGTGGCTCGCCAAGGAAGTCCCAGATATGCTGTGCCTTGAAGTATTTCATGTTGTTCTTGCGTAGAGACATAGGTATACTTTAACCCCCAGAAGGGTCTATGAACTTAGACAGGAAGGAGAGATAGTGGGGAAAAATTTAACTGTGGTAGCGGGTCCTCAAGACAGCCCTCAATGACCTCTGACTTCTGGTATCCACATTCTTGTGTATTCTCCCGCCATATTGTACCAAGGTCAGTCTGTGTGACCAGTGGACTATAGCAGAAGTGATAGTAAGTCGCTTCTAAGATGAGGTTATAAAAGTCACTGCAGCTTCCAACTTGGCCACTCTAACTCTTTGGCCAGTCACTCTAGGGAAAGCCAGCTGCCAGCAGTGAGTAGACTACAAAGAAGCCTGTGTGATGAAGAATTGAGCCTCTGACCATAGCCAGTGAGGAACCAAGTTCTCTTACCAGTAGCTATGTGAGGGACTTGTGAGTGGATCCTCCAGTCCTGGACAAGCCTTCAGATGATTCCAGCTTCATGAGAAACCCTGACTTGGAAGCACCCAGCCAAGACACTCCTGGGTTCCTGATCCTAAGAAACGATATCAGGTAATTTTGGTTGTTTTGAGATGGCAAATTTTGAGGTAATTTGTTATGCCGCAGTAGAAAACGTATACACTAGGAGATACTAAACATGTTGATTGGGTTTCCTTAAGGGAAGTGAATAAAATGCTCAATTCCCAGAAAACAGAGAAAGACCAGCTAGTTAATTTCTAAGATCAGAACCCTGGAGGACAGTGCTATGAAACTTACATAGATTGGCCTTTTACCATTCTTTAAAAAAATGTCAAAAATACTACTTGTCCTTTGTTAAAACATACACACATATTCACACATAGATGAAGTAAAAAGCACAAGTACCATTCCTATTCTTCTCATCTTATTCCTCAGAAGCAATTGCTGATATCAGTTTGGTTTTTATCTTTCCTGATTTTTTCCCAGTCAGTTATAATCACACACACAATTACAGAACCCAATTTGTGTGTATGTCTGTGCTTGTGATATTTGACAAATGTCTTTATCATTTAACATTTATATCATATGTTCTTTCAGTGCCAACAGACTTGGCTCCAATATAATCATTCTAAAAGCTATGTTATATTCCATACTGTGGGATTCTGTAATTTATTTAAATAATGGTTCATCAGTAATTATTTATAATGTTTTATTCATGTATTTATTTGCCACTACACACAAGGCCACAGTAAATATCTTTGAGCACTTGGACAAATATTTCTGTAGGATAAATTTCTAGAAGTGGGATTGAGGGTTAAAAGGTACGTAGATTTAAAATTTTGGTAGACAATGCCTAATTACATTTTATAAATGTTGTTCTTATTTCTTTTCCCACTAACGTATTTTTGCATCCTAACACTAGATAGTAATGATTTTTTAAAATTTCTGCTAATTTGATGGGCAGAAGTGTACAGCTTGTTTATATTTGCATATTCCTGATTTCTGATGAGAAATCCACAATCACTTGAACTGTTTTCTTATAGGCAATATATCATCTTTCTGGCTGCTTTAAAGAGGTTGTTTTTCATCTTGGTTTTCAGCAGTTTGATTATGATGTGTTTAGGCATGGATTTTTTGTGTTCTTCCTATTTGGAGTTCACTGAGCTTCTTAAATCTGTATGTCTATGTCTTTTGCCAAATATGGGAAGTTTTCAGCCATTATTTTTTCCAGTATTTTTTTTTTCCTGCTCTGTATTTTTTTTCTCTTCCTCTAAGACTTGAATGACACAAATGTTAAGACATTTTGGTATAATCTCACTGGTTTCTGAGGCTCTGTTCATTAAAAAATTTTTTTCTATGTTGTTCAGATTGAATAATTTCAATTGGTCTATCCAGGTTTTAAAATTTCAGTTACTGTATGTTTTGACTCTAAAATTTACATTTAGATCTTCTTTATACTTTCTGTTTCCCTGCCAAGACTTTGTCTTTCCATTCATTTCAAGAGTGTTGTTGTCCCTCACTTTGTGGAATATTTTATAATACCTGTTTTAAAGGCTTTGTCAGAAAATTCCAACATCTGCATCACCTTAGTGCTGGCATCTGCCGATTGTTTTCATGTGAGTTGAGATTTCATGGTTCTTCATACACTGAGGGTGAAAGGTAGAATAAAGTCTCTCTCAGAGATGTCTGCATCCTAATTTCTAGAACCTGTGAATATGTTACATGGTAAAAGGAATTAACATTGCAGGTGCAATAGGATTGCTTATCAGATGTGGACCTTGAGACGGGGAGATTATACTGGTGGGACATATATAATCATGAGCATCTTTAAAAGTAGAGAATGTTTCCTGGTTATGATCAGAAAGAGAGATGACAATGGAAGAAGGGTTAGAGAGATGCTATGTTGCTTGCTTTGAAGATGGAGGAAGGGGTCCACGAGCCAAGGAAAGAGGGCAGCTCCTCAAATCTTGCAAATGCAAGCAAACAGTTTCCCCACAGATCCTCCAAAAGGTGCCAGCCCTGCCCATACCAGGACTTTAACCCAGTGAGGCTGATTTTGGAATTCTGACCTATAGAACTTAAAACAAACATACAAACAAACAAAAACAAACACCCCCCCCCAAAACCAACTATTATTTTAATGACCACTAGGTTTGTGGTCATTTGTTGTAGCAGCAGTAGAAAACTAATACACTGAGTAATGTTGGATTATATCTTGGATATTTTGAATGTTATGTTTTGAGAGCCTGGGTTTTATTTACATCTTATGTAAATTATAATATTTATGTTTTAACAGGCAATCAACCTGGATGGGCTCAGGCTGAAAATTCTGTCAGCCTTTTGTAAGTCGTAGTTTCAATGTCAGGTTTGTTTTCAGAGCCTTTGCAGCTACTTAGATTTTCTCTGTGCGTGTGTCATTGGGGGTCATTCTGGGACCTGAGTGATGGCCCACCCTTTAGTTCAGTCTCCATGTCTTTGGTGTGTATTTAGGAGCAGATCCACACTCACACAGCACAGGACTGAACCCAGGAGTTTGTGAACAGCTTTAAGAGGCCCCTGGCCTGAGTTCCTCCCTTTTTGAGATCGCTCTAGTACTTTGCAACACTTTGTGGCCCCCCCTTATCCATCCTCTGGACCGGAAAGCTTGGGCTCTATCCACCCTGCTGTGCTGCACACTTCCTGTGAATGCACCCACATTAGGGGCCAGGTGGTGGGAGAAGTGAGAGAGGAGAAGAGGATTGGGGGTTCCCCCATTCTCTTGGGGAACAGCTCCTCCATACAGAGAGAGAGGGTCCACTGTGGGCTCCACTACCGCCATTCTCACTGCCACTGCTCTGATTGCCTGGGGAGGGTGCGGCTGGGAGAATAAAGAAAAGAAAGAAAATGAACAGGGGATTTCCCCACTGTTTGTGCATGTTAATTGCACCTGGAGCCAGAACCAGAGTTTTAGTCATACCTGTTGCTCATTTCTGCATTTGGGGCTGTCTCCCATCCGGACCAAGGTCGCGGAGGACAAGTGAGACACTCAGTGCTGGTTCAGTGGCATGTCGAATTCTGCTCTTCCTTCCCAAGCCCCCTGCTCCCATTTACTTTTCAGAGTCCTCAGATACGCTGTTCAGGTTTTATAGCTGCATTCATGTGTTCACTCCATTTCATCCAGAACTGGATCCCCGCCTCTTCCCTTGATATCTGAGGACACGTACATTTTCCCTCAGGGGTTCCGGTCACATGACAGCTCCCCTCTTCCTTGCTGCCCTTCAATGGGAACAGGTCCCAGCCAGACGTAAACCAATCATGATGAAGCAACCTCCTTCATGGTACCACCTACCTGTTCTCGCCTCTTCTGTTTTCTAGGACTTCTATCAGAAAACACACACAGAGGTCGAGCTCAGTCTCGATATCCATCTATAAAGAATTCCAGAGAGACAGCTTAATGCACTGTTTTACAAGCACGAAAGGATCTGTTGAGAATGACTGAATCCTCCCTATGAAACGGGAACCATGGAAACATTTCATGACACCTTAACATTTTAGCATGTTCCCTGCGACAAACTATTGCCATTCTAACATAAACTAGTTCCTTCTTACTGAAGACCTGGTGCAAATCTTTAGATGGTGTGGCTAAGAGAATAAATGTGAATTCATCCCCTTGCCCCACTGTGTGCGTGTGCCTGCCCTTGGGGAAGCTTTTTTATACGGGTTCCCTAGTGGTCATTTGGGAAAGTCCCAAGTCCCTGCTTGTGTTGGAAGTTCATCTATTGTATCGCAAGGGAAGTGTTCCATCTTTCCTCTGTACTCTAAGGACCACTGACACTTACTTTACATACTTACTTTAAATATGAGCTTTTCCCTTGTTTGCTTAGTACTGCAGCTTGGTTTCCTAACTTGAGCAATTGACCCACTGCCTCTATGTTCTGCCCTTTTGTTTGTGATTGGACTGTGGCAAAGTAATGGGTTTTTAAACTCCTTTTAGTAGGAAACATAGTTTCTGAACTAAAAACAGATGGCTCCCATTGGGCCAGGATGCTTCTGTGCTCGCAGTAAACACTCCCGCTCCTCATTTCTCATCCGATTATCGTGCAGGCCAGTGCTTACCAAACATTAATATACACAAGAATCAGCTGAGGCTTTTGTTCAACTAGAGATCCAGATTTCATTGTTCCGGGATGGGGACCGAGATCTTGCATTTCTAATACCCTCACCTGGGATATCCATGCTGCTGGGTCTGCTGACAGCACTTTCGTAGCGACGTAGCAACGTGGGACTACCCAAGAGCATTTACCAGGAGAATGTCACATAGTTTAAGACATGTCGCTAGCAATGGCTGAGATGGGGATGCACGCAGGAGCATCTCTGGAGATTTCCACCTGTGCAAGAGGCAGAGGGGAAGGCGGGCAGGGAGGCAGTCTCAACAAAAGGCTGCTCAACCCTGGAGCTCTGAAGCAGAGTTGCAGCTCTAGACTTGTCTTGAGTTGAGGTGAAGGGACTAGGCCTTTGTATCCAACCCTGACCAGTCACTGGGTGCAGGCTGCCCCAGGAAGGGGGTGTCATCTTGAGCGAGGTGACTCTGCAGCTGAGGCCCTTCCGGTACAGGGCTGGTACCTCAGGCTGTTTGCACACAGTGCTTCCAGCAGCTGAAGGGCCAGCTGGGCCGCGTGTCATGTTACACACTCAGCCCTGAACCCTGGTCTCCAGTTCCTCTCTTGAGATGAGCTAGCTTAGAGCCCTCCTCTTTATTTTCCATGCTGATTTAAACACCCTCAGACATAATCCCTTCTTAGTACCTTGGCCTGAAAAGTCAACTGCAGTTGGCAAGGAGCGTCCATTTGAGCCTTTAGGTGGGTAGTTTGCATTTTTAAGAATTTCTAGGCTAGATTTTTTTCAACCCTGGAAGGGTTCCATTTAACATTTCCTTATAGATTCCTGCTAAATCAGAGGTTCCGATGGCTGTAAGAAAACCTCCGTCTGAGGTAGAAGAGGGACTTGAGGGCTAAAAAGAAAAGAATTCCATTTCTTGTGGGAAACAAAGGCCTTGAAGTATTTGTAGGCTGAATTGAAAGGAGAAGCGTTAGGACTGGAAAAGCCCATTTGTAGAGGACTGAAGCAGGAAGACCGAAACCAGGCTGTTTAAAGATTTAAGCCTGTGCCCCAGTGATTGTGTAATGTGAACTTTAACCTCTGCTAAATATAGTTTATATCCTGAGAATCCTTCACACTCTAGTAAAAATAGCTGCACACTTGAATGGCTCATGCGCTCAGTGACTACAGGAAAAAGGGCCTGGGAATCCTGGGTGAGAGGAGAGAGAAGGGCGGGGGATCCCTGGGGAGAGTGCGTATGTCTCCTCGGACAATTCATTTCTGAGTGTCAGACAAGAGCCCACTCTCGGGCCCTGGAAGGGGTCCCCCTCCTGCAACAGCGTGGGTAATGGAAAAGAACCCAAACTAGAGAGCTGGGAGGGAGCTCTACTCAAAGGCAGGCACAGAATAAGGCACAAGAGGTGGCTTCCTTGGCTGGAGGGGGCCCCTACTGTGTCATCACTGGATATAGGCTGAGGACAAACAGTGGTCTGGGGCAGGGTTGCCAGCAGAAGATCAGGTGTCCAGGAGGTGAGAGCTCTGGGTTTTTTGTTTGTTTTTTCTTTTTACTCCCTGCAGCTTTTGGAGTACAAGTGGAATAAAGAAAACCAAGCGTGGAGCACAATTTTTGCTTCTGACGCTAGGGTGGCTCCAGGAATCAGAGGCATTGATTGTTGCTATTTACGTATTCCAGCTCCATGCCCTGCTTCCTGTGGCACAAGAATTTTCCACATGCTGTGTGTTCAGAGATGAGAATAGACATGGTATCTGATGCCCCTGGGTGGGGCCATATGGAGTTATCTACACACTCACGGAGGCATCCTACAAGGGCTGGGCTGGCAGAGAACCACCACGCGTGTAGAAGGGGCACAAAGTGCGCCTGACGGAGAGAAGAGACGTGTCTCTGCTCCTAGCCAATCTCCTCCTGCCTTTATCTTATCTCCTAAAAAGATTCCCTTGATAGCTTACTGCTTTCGAGAGGAAAACCTACACACATGCAAGGTCCCTGGAAGCTGCCGGACCTGAACCAAGTGATGCAAATCACTGAGTGGACAGACCTACCTCCTGAGGGATTAAGTGTGTCCAGCCATTGATTTACATGGACATTTATCCAGCAAAAAAAAGGAGCCAGCAGAAGGCAGAGAAGAATTCAGATGCACTGATCCTGCACCAAATACTGTTCACAAGGTCAGGCCCCTCTAGTTATCCTCATGCCTGTTCTCTTTCACTGGCTGACTTCAGGCTACTTCTTTGCTATTGCCGTTTAAATGTAGAAAAGAAAGAAGAGGGCTTCCCTGGTGGCGCGGTGGTTGGGAGTCCGCCTGCCGATGCAGGGGACACGGGTTCGTGCCCCGGTCTGCGAAGATACCACATGCCGCGGAGCGGCTGGGCCCGTGAGCCATGGCCACTGAGCCTGCGCGTCCGGAGCCTGTGCTCCGCAATGGGAGAGGCCACAACAGTGAGAGGCCTGCGTACCAGGAAAAAAAAAAAAAAAAAAGAAAAGATAGAAGAGCCAAATTCATGGAGAAACTACTCTGTGGTTTATATACTAATCCAATTTAATGCTTATAGCCCCTCAATGGGATAGGATTTTTTTCTTTCTTTCTTTTTAAATATATGAGGGGAAACTCAGAGAAAATAGGTGTATGTGTCAGGGTAGGGGATTTTTAGCCCAGCTCTGTCTGACACCACGACTTTGCTTCCCAGTGGTTCTCAATCCCGTCTGCACCCATGCATCACCAAAGGAATCTTGGGAGAATGCCCAGTGCCTGGGCCCCAGCCCAGGTCAAATAAATTAGAATCTCTGGAGGTATAGCCCAACATTGGTACATTAAAAAAATCTCTCCGGGGCTTCCCTGGTGGCGCAGTGGTTGAGAGTCCTGCAGATGCAGGGGACGCGGGTTCGTGCCCAGGTCCGGGAAGATCCCACATGCCGCGGAACGGCTGGGCCCGTGAGCCATGGCCCCTGAGCCTGCGCGTCCGGAGCCTGTGCTCCCCAATGGGAGAGGCCACAACAGTGAGAGGCCTGCGTACCGCAAAAAAAAAAATCTCTCCGAGTGATTCTGGTGCATCTGGAGCTGAGATCCACTGGGCTACACCATACTGCCTCCATCCCATTCCAGTACAACCCCTGTGTTCTGCCCTTCCTCCCATTGTCTTTGGCTTTTCAGAAACGCCCTGATCTAGCTGGTCCACGGAGACCCAACAGATGAAGGAGACATCCAAAAGCCTAAGGATTGTTCCTTTCATAACAAATGTGTACAGGGCATAAACTGATGCTGGCTTTCCTTGTTAGCTGCATATAATGTCTGATGAACACTATTTGAATTGCACTGAAAGCAAAACGGCAATCCTGAGAGATGTTTTCTGACTGCCTTGCTGTTACTACATGAGGTGGTAGGAAAAGCACTACATTTGGAGCCATAAACGTGGAAGTTCTCATTTTTGTCTGCCTACGAGCTAACTGTGCAATGTGAGGAAGAGTTCTCTTACCCACCTGGACTTCAGTTTCCTTACTTATAGAAAGAATGCGGGTATAGGATCTGATAAGATCTGGCATTCCTTCTGTTATCTACCATGTAGATCAGGTCATTGCAACGTTCTCAAAACCTTGCAATACCCATCTATAAAATGGCTGTCATTTACTCAGTAAGTTTATCTCAAACATGTGTTTATCTCCTTATTTTTTAAAAAACTATGAAAACACGAAAGGCTGTTTTCTCCTAAGAAATATTAGGTCAAGCTCTCTCTCCCCTACCATCCTTTTAAGAACAATCTGAGTCGATTCAGAGAATCTAATGCTTATGCTTAGACGTTAATTATAGGTTTCTTCAGTGCCATGTGTGACCTTGACTTTTAATTATTCAGGAGTGGCAATTACAGAACCTAAAGTGGGTTGTTGACATAAGATGCTTGGAAATAAGGTAACCCTTTTCTCTTTCTACCAAATCAGAACGCATTAATTAGTTTTTGTTGTAAGTATTAAGGACGTGTTCATTCTAGAGAAGGTTAATTTCGTTCAATGTGTAATTCTGTAATTTAGGCATTATTCATACTTGCCGACAATGAATATCAGAGGGAGTGTCAGGAGGGAGCCCAGAGAGGCTCTTTCTGGTTTGGGGCTTGTATGATGAGGAGACCAAGACACCCACCCACAGTTCCTGGCGTGGAAGCTGCTGGTTTACTAAGGGGAATATTTTTACAGGCCTTCCAAGGCCACCGTGGAGCAGAAGGCCTGCTCTGACAAGTCAGCTAACGTGTGCTAGGCTCTGCTGCAAACCCAGCCACTCTGCTGGTTGAGTCTCATGGTACAGGGGAATCCAAGCCAACACGGAACGATCTGATCAATTCCGTGTTTCCCAACTGAGCGTGGAGGAGCGTGGGGGGCCCAGGAGGTGTCCCAGAGGAGGCCTCAGAGGGGCAGGAGGAGCCGAGCAGGCAAGGGAACCACACGGTCACCAGCCCTCGATGCAGCCGGAGCTTCTGGGCTTGTGTATAGTGGCCAGTGTATTTGGGCTGGCCAAAAAGTGCGTTCGGCTTTTTCCGTAAGCTGTTAGGGCAAACCCGAACGAACTTTTTGGCCAACCCAGTAGGTTTTCTTTGGGGGAAGTATCCCTTGCAAACCAATAAACAAACAAAACAATTCTTCCAATCCCACCCGAGTGAATTCTTACCTAATCCAGCCAATCAGGATAGAATTAGCATCTAGTCCTGAAGAGAGCAGCTCCTTTTCCACCTCCATCGCAGGTGGGACAGGGACCTGTAAGAGTAATTCTCCTCCGTAAAGATGTATTTACTGGGCTTCCCTGGTGGCGCAGTGGTTGAGATTCCGCCTGCCGATGCAGGGGACATGGGTTCGTGCCCAGGTCCGGGAAGATCCCACATGCCGCGGAGCGGCTGGGCCTGTGAGCCATGGCCGCTGAGCCTGCGCATCCGGAGCCTGTGCTCCGCAACGGGAGCGGCCACAACAGTGAGAGGCCCGAATACCGCAAAAAAACAGAGGTGTATTTACTTTGCAAAATAACACGGTCAAGAAGGCTTTCTTGCTGTTTGGCTCGGGCCTTGAATTTTAGCCTTTCATTGGCAGACGGGTGGTCATGCCTACCCAGGGAGCTTCAGAAGGATGTTCAGAAAGGAACGTGGGGCTCAGACTCCCCTTAAGCCCCCATTCCCCTTGGCCCCCAGTCCTCTTCGGAGTCAGGCCGGTAATGGCTTTGCTCCCCCTTCTCTTTTGTTATGGGACATGGTCTCTTTAGACCCAGGGCTCAAGCCTTAACATTCCCAGGAGTCATCACCAACTGGAACAAAGCCCTCCAGAAAGTTCACAAGTGCAGCCTGTGAGAATAATATGTTCCAGCCCGAGGTACTTAAGAGCCTGAATGCCTGGGCTCCTGGCCGGCACAGGTGTTTACTGAGTGCAGGACAGGAGGTTTCTGTCTCGAGGAAGGCTTTTTGCGCCATTACAGTTCTAACAGTCTGCTGGTTTTAGATTTGCTTCTCCCCACTCACCCCACCCCCCTCCAGTTATAATAAAGATGGGTCTGCGGAGATCACATTTCCATCAGTACGCTGTGTTTTTGTTCCTTCTGACTAAACATTTCCTATGTTTTCCTAGTTTGTGACAATCCTATCAAAGCCCCAGTTCCCTTCCTGAACTTCCACACCTTTGGCCCGAGGACTGTGAAATCAGGATGGGGATTCCGTTCTTTCGAAGGTTAGGCCACAGGTTTTCTTCCTAAGAAATGCCTTTGAGGATGACTAGGCTTCTTAATTATTGGGGGAGAGCTAGGCTCCCATGCAGGTGGGCCTCATTTTTATTTTTGCATAATGCATTTCCTAAAATGAGAGAGTATGAACTCATACTTAAATTCACTCTTTAGTGGGGAAATGAGAAAAATACACTTGAAATTGCCCCATTTTCCTGATAGGTTTGGAGTTTTGTAAGCACTGAATTTTTTTTTTTTTTTGCGGTATGCGGGCTTCTCACTGTTGTGGCCTCTCCCGTTGTGGAGCACAGGCTCCGGACGCGCAGGCTCAGCGGCCATGGCTCATGGGCCTAGCTGCTCTGTGGCACGTGGGATCTTCCCGGACCGGGGCACGAACCCGTGTCCCCTGCATCGGCAGGCGGACTCTCAACCACTGCGCCACCAGGGAACCCTAAGCACTGAATTTTTTAAGGGGGAGATGAGGATACAATGGATATGCTTGAACTGTGGTCTAACTGTAGACCTCCTATCTAAGAGGAGTGTTTCCTTCTCCCTGAGAATGTTCGCAGCTGCTCCTCTGCTGTTTGCTCCTACCTAAAAAGAGCCTGGACTCCCTTCTAGTATTCTGCTTTCCTTAACCTTTCTCCTACCTGGGCTGGCGGGACAGGCTTTTGCACGTGTTCTCCATGGGTGACACTGTTCAGAAGCCCATGGCAGGAAAGGCGAGTGCTCAGGGCTGGGCTGACGTGGGATCCTGCTGGCTTATGGTAGTTTGGCCAAGCCCAGCAGGATAGCTCTGGCTGCGTGAAATAGGATTCATGTTGGTGTCTTGTTTGTCTTCAGAAGAGGAAGGGAAATCGCATTTATTTACAGAAGAGGAAGGGAAATAGTATTTATTTTTGTGATGACTCAGTTCACAATGTTTTTCTCCCAGCAGGTGATGTCTAAGCTTTGACAAATCTAGGGATCTCACTCGTGCAAAAATTCTTGGGGAAGAGACCCATCTCTAGAGGATGACCCGTTGGGACAGTTGTTCGTGGACTTGCTTCTCTACGGACTGTGGCACCTGAAGGATGACCAGGAGGCAGTGCTGGTGATCACATTCATCTCCTGTCATTATCAGCCTTTGCCTTTCCTTCAAACTCCTGCAGGGTCCCTATGGACCACACTGGTGATGTTTTTCTTGCGTTGCTTCTACCACCTAAGTGCGGTGTTGGCTATTGTGGGTACCATTGACCAAAGCTGACCTCAATGTCCATTTAAGCCAGAGTTTGCTTGTATACAGATAATACAAGAATAGGAGGGCTTCCCTGGTGGCGCAGTGGTTGAGAGTCTGCCTGCCGATGCAGGGGACACGGGTTCATGCCCCAGTCCGGGAAGATACCACATGCCGCGGAGCGACTAGGCCCTTGAGCCATGGCCGCTGAGCCTGCGCATCCGGAGCCTGTGCTCCGCAACGGGAGAGGCCACAACAGTGAGAGGCCCGCGTACCGCAAAAAAAAAAAAAAAAAAAAAAGAATAGGAAACACAGGCTCTGCTGACTGTCATTAACCTCAATTTGAGGTCCCTTAGAGATTGTTCATAAACTGTGCTGTTCTTCAGAATACAGTCCTAATGTCTTGTCTCATGCTATATACTCCTTGGGCTACTTCATCTATTCTTGTGGATCTAAGTTCCACCGAAGTGCTGAGGTCTTCTAAATCTCTGTTTCAAGATTTCTTTAAGGGACTTCCCTGGTGGTCCAGTGGTCAAGACTCTGCTCCCACAGCAGAGGGACGTGGGTTTGATCCCCCGGTCGGGGAACTAACATCCTGAGTGTCACGCAGCATGGCCAAAAAAAAATAAAATAAAATCAAGATTGGGAATTCCCTGACCGTCCAGTAGGTTAGGACTCTACGCTTTCACTGCCGGGGCTCAGGTTCAATCCCTGGTTGGGGAACTAAGATCCTGCAAGCTGTGGGGCACAGCCAAAAAAAAAAAATCTAGATTCATGTATCTAATTACCACTTAGTATGTCCATGCGGGTATCTAATCGTTACCTTGAATTTAACATATCCAAAGTGTAACTCACCTTCTTCTCCCAGCCAGCTTTTTCTTCTGTGGTACTTCTCCCGGTGGGTTACATCGCCATCACCTACACAGAAACTCAAGAGAGAAATTTAGTCATCAGCCTGGACCCATTCCTCCTTACCTACACAATCCCTACTTCACGTCACTGCCTGCTTCAAACGACCTCAACCGTTTTCCATCTCCTTCAGAAGAGAGTTGAAACTCTTTAGAATAGCACAGAATGCCCTTGTTCCCCGCGTATGTATACATGATCCATGAACTTGCTTCAGCCAAAGTGTAACTCCTGGCAACTTTCTGAGTTAGCTATTTTGTTTTTCACGCTCCCCAGCCTTTGCACACTGTTTTTCACGCTGGGAACGCCCCTCACTCACTTCTTCCCCAGCAATTTCTATTGCTTCTTCAAGGCTGCTCTCCAGAAATCTCCATCTCCAGATATCCTTCTCTCCACAACAATGCCCCATCATGGGAATTAATAGTTATTAGATTTCTGTTAGGGGCTTAGTATTTTTGAGTATATTTACATATCTTTTTCTAATCCTTTCAACAGCCCTGTAAAGAAGGTATTATTGCCCTTGCTTAATAATAAAGAAACTGGACTCAAAGAGGTAAAGAAACCTGGGAGCAAGTTAGAAATGCAAATTCTCAGGCTCCACCCTTGGCCTACTGATCAGACTCTCTAGGGGTGGGACCCAGCAGCCTGCATTTTAATGGATTCTTCAGATAATTCTGCTGCACACTCAAGTTTGAAAATCACTACAGAGCTTGAAGAAATCGCAGGGTCCACGAAGAGAGCGATTCCAGAGGGGATGGGCCAGAAGTAAGCACCTTTCTCTCAAGTGCTTGAAAACCAATTTCATGTCACGCAAAGATAGTAAAGATACTAATTTAAGATGGGAATTAACTGGGAAATGAATTAGAATACAGGGGTTATGTAGGCACATGCAAGCTATAATTAAACCTACTGCTGAGTTTTAGGAAAATCCTCTTTGAGACCGGGAGTGTAGACTAAATGTGATCTTATTTGGCAAAAATCTGGACTTTGAAAAGGGTCCTTTGGAAATAAAATGAATCGAGGGAAGATTGTCCCAAGTATGTATCACCTTTCTTTTTTTAACCAGCCACACCTCCTGCTGGGCTACACCATGTCCCACTCCCTAACTTAGGACTGTAGGTGGGCATGGCTGGAGGTTAGGGTGACAGGTCAGCAGTACTCACCTTTTAGGAGTCTCAGCCCCCAAAGCATGCATGTGTCTCTAAAGGTGAAATTTCAGGCCAAGAAGGGATATTTGGGGAGTAGGAATCCTCAATTTAAAAAGATGACTGCCTGGACTTCCCTGGTGGTCCAGTGGTTAAGACTCTGCACTTCCACTGCAGGGGACTCAGGTTCAGTCCCTGGTCGGGGAACTAAGATCCCACACATCTTGCAGCACGGCCAAAAAAAAAAAAAGATGACGGCCAAACGGATCAACTTACAGTCAGCTTATAGAGGAGTCTTTAACTACTACCAGTGCTGCTAATAAAGTAAAAATAACAATAACTGTCATCTGAGTATCTCTCTACAGATAAGGATACTGAAATTTAATATAATTAATTTATTCAAAAATATTTATTTATTTAGGCTGCGCCGGGTCTTAGTGGCAGCATGCAGGATCTTCTTTGTGGCATATGGACTCTTCACGGCAGCATGCGGACTCTTAGCTGTGGCATGCGGGCTTCTTGGTTGCAGCATGCGGACTCTTAGTTGCAGCACACATGCAGGATCTAGTTCCCCGACCAGGGATTGAACCCAGGCCCCCTGCATTGGGAGCGTGGAGTCTTACCCACTGGACTACCAGGGAAGTCCCAGGATACTGAAATTTAGAGAGCTAAAGTAATTTATCCCAACGTATATTCTGGGGCAATGAAGGGGTCTTGCATAGTATACAGAGTAAAATAGGATGGAGAAAAATTCCCCCCCCACACTAACCTCTAACAATTAGAGTCAGAGTCAAATTAAAACTTGGCATCTCCTTCAATCATAAATGGAAGCCACAAGCCACTGTAGTGATAGCAGTACGTACATTATGTCAGTAACAGGAATTGCAGATAATTTCATATTATACTACATTTGTGAATAGCTCAGATCTCTTCTATGCTCATCATTATGTCAAAATGTTGGCACTTATTGAACTTGCCTCTGGATCTTTTTGCTTAATGTACTAATAGAGAGGCAAAAATATTACTGTAACAAATTAATTTTTAAATATTATGATAACAACACAATTTCAATTATGTTTCAGTAAAATGTTTTCTCTCTAATTTTATTTTATGCATTAGAAAAGTTCATACTTGGAAATGCGATTTCTTCTGTTGAGGTAATAAGAAAAGGAGCTCATAGCTTTATTCTCAGACCACCAATGCTTTTGGGATGCAGTTGCAGGATTCACCCAGAGTTTGACTAAAGCCAGCAGAGTCGCTCCTCCTTGCCAGCTGCTTCCCTTTGTGCCTGACGGCCTAACTAGTTCTGTGCTGGCTTTGGCTCTGAATATTGCCAGAGCGTAACGTCAATTTACTGCTAGCCTTGGACCAAAATGGACGAGGGTAGGAGGTGGTGCGAAAAGAAGATGGGCATTGGAGTCAGCCAGGGCTAGGTCTGAATTCCAGGTTCAACACGCACTTTCTTTCTTTGCTAGGGGATTCATGAGAAAAGAAAAGAAAAGAAAAGAAAAGAAAGAAGAAAGAAGGAAAGAAAGAAAGAAGGAAAGAAAGAAAGAGAAAAAGAGAGAGAAAGAAAGGGAGAGAGAAAGAGGGAGGGAGGGAGGAAGGGAAAGAGAGAGAGAGGGAGAGAGGGAGGGAGGGAGGGAGGAAGGAAGGAAGGAAGGAAGGAAGGAGGAAGGAAGAAGAGAAGAGCCCCCTGTGGGTGTTGAACCTGGAATGCAAACCTAGCCCTGGCTGACTCCAATGCCCATCTTCTTTTCGCACCACCTCCTACCCTCATCCATTTTGGTCCAAGGCTAGCAGTAAATTGATGCTCCGCTCTGGCAATACTCACAGCCAAAGCCAGCACAGAACTAGTTAGGCCGTCAGGCACAAAGGGGAGCAGCTGGCAAGAAGGAGCGACTCTGCTAGCTCTAGTCAAACTCTGGGTGAATCCTGCAAATGCATCCAAAAAGCACTGGTGGTTTGAGAATAAAGCTATGAGCTCCTTTGCTTATTATCTCTGACAGAAGAAATTGCAAAGTCATTGGCAGCATTTGTAATATTCATCGAGTGCCAATAATATGTTGGTTTCTATCCTGATGCCTTAAGAGAAACTCAGTAAATATTTATGTAGCATTGCAATGCACAGACATTATGATAGGTAGTGGGACTAAAGGGGGAAAATGACAAGGTCTCCACTTCAGGGGACACAGTCCAATAGGGCAAAATACAGGCAAACTCTATATTGTAGATTGGGATAAACAAACGTGCCTATGAAAGGTAGGGATGGGAGAGGCTCGTCCTGACAGTGTGGGATGGGGAAGCCTAAGGGAGAGAAGGGATTGGCTAGGACCATGAAGGTTAGGCAGGGCAGGTGGATTTGTAGGGTGTTAGGGGTTCTAGACTATACAGAAAAAGGTAGCGTGTCTATGGTTCAGTATATAAATGTCAAACTCTTTGCAATGGCTTACAAATCCCTATGCAGTCTGGAGCCCCATGACTCTCTCACTCCTCCTGCTTTCTCCCCTTTGCTCACCTTAGTCCAGCTGTACCAGCCTCCTTGCTGTTCCTTGCACAGATCCCCAGGCCTGCTCCTGCCTCAGTGCCTTTGCATTTGCCATTCCTTCTGCCTAAAACACTCTCCCCCTAAAACCAGTCAATCAATCACTCTCTCCCTGGATATCCTGGAGGCCCACTCCCTCACCTTCTTTATGTCTCTGAGCAGATGCCACCTTTGGAGTAACCACCTTATTTAAAAATTTTAACCCCTTGCTCACCCTGGTGTTCCACCCCATTTCCTGCTTTAGTTTCCTCTAGAACACAGATTATCACAACCTACTATATCAGTGGTTCTTAAACCTATGTATTAACCAGAATCACCTGGAAGACTTGTTAAAACTTACAACCGGCCTCTGATTCAGTAGGTCTGGGGTGGGGCCCAAGAATATGCATTTTAACAAGTTCCCAGGTGCTGCTGAATCTGCTGATCTGGGACTCACTTTGAGAACCAATGCGCTGTTAATTTTACTGATTTATTGCCTGTCTCCACTAGAATGTAAGCTGTTTGTGGCAGGGTTTTTTGTCTGTTTCATTCCTGGCTATAAATCCAGTGCCAGAACAGTGGCCAGAACACCCAACATATTTGTTGAGTAAACAAGTGTTTGTGGCTTAAGTGTAGGGTACGTAGGGATGCTGGGAGGCATGCAGTGGGAGTATGTTTGAAAGAAAACGTTTGGCCCGTATTTTTGATAAATTGTTATAGTAATAATAATATGTTATTATTGTGAATATAATAGTGTAACAACACTAACTACCATTTATTGTTTCCACTGTGCCCAGCCAGTTCACAGTGGGGTTCAGAGGGACTGTATGACTTTAATTTGCTTAAGATCACTTAGTGTATGTAGTAAATGGTTTAGTTAGGATTTTAACTTAAGTCTGTCTGACTCCAAAAGGATGGTCTTGAACACTAGGCTAAAAGTCATCTCATGATTGATTTTTAAACTTTTAATTTTATAATAATTTTAGATCTACAGAAGAGTTGCAGAGATGGCTTAAAGAGCCCTCATATAACCTCCGCCCAGCTTCCTGTAATGTTAACATCTGATACAACCATGCTTCTTATATTGAAACTAGGAAATTTAAGTTGGTATAACACTATGAACCAAACTACAGACTCTATTTGGAGTTCACCTGTTTTTCCATTCTAATGTCCTTCATCTGTTCCAGGATCCAATCCAAGACACCACTGTCTAACAATTTTTAAAGACCCACCATGGACAAATTTGAATGTGCACAGCATGAAGTGCCCAAGATACAAAGAAGATACAAAGATGACTAAAATGCAGGGCAGCCCTTGAGGTGCATATGACAGGGACATAGACACAGAAGTAAAGAACTCCACTAGATGAGGTCGTGCCAGGACAGGGGCCAGCTCAGGGAGCTTTAAGGGCCAATGGAAGGCAGACGGTTATCCTAGTCCTGGGGTTTGCGAAGACTTCTTGGGAGAGTCAGGCAGGAGGAACAGTGTGAGGAGATATTGCAGGCCACTGA